TTTTTTTTTTTTTTTTTTAAAGTCGGGGGTCATCTTAAGGGACTTGGGGCTTTTTGATTCTAAGATACTGAATTTGATTATATTTTGGTCATTGTTATAGAACAACCTTTTCTTAATAACAGTTTGAACCTCAAATGCTGAATTTGGCCATAACTGCCTAAAAACCTGCTTTTCTCATAGAAAATAATTTAATTCGTGTCTCAAAATTCGGAGACTTATTTTCAGTATGGCCCAAAACATCATCCTGACCCAGGCACTGAGGAGTTAGGGTGGCTCTGGACCACCTGCCCAGAGCCATGTGCTGCTTGGGCACAGCAAGGAGATGGATAAGGAACTACCTGAGCCTTGAGGAGAGACTGGTTTCTTGTGTCTAACAAGATATTATATATATATACAGGGAAATGAAGGACTGCAAATGAATAAACTGTACCTAAAGAAAGGGAAAACTGCCCCAATAATAAAAAAAAAGTAGGACAGCTGTGCTTTTATACCAGAACTCGCTGTTTCTTTTATGACATTTATTTCATATCATGCAGACCCTTCAGAGCAGCACTAATGCCCAGTGGAGTTCTCCAGCCTAAATGTCTCGTTGTCAGTGGAAGAAACAAAGGTAATGTAATTTGAACGCTGGATGCAACAGCGTAGGCTGCTCTCCAGGCTGATTCTCCCTGCTCCAAATGGGAATGATGGCTCCAAACAGACTCACCAGCACAGACTGAAGAGCAGACATCTGATTTGGGAGGAAATGGCCAATGTCTCAGCTTTTTTCCCCATGATTTGTTTCTTCCTGGAAAGGAGAAAAAAAAAAAAGGCCACAAAACAGTTGCATGAAGACGCCACTGTTTCAAAGCAAAATTTTAAAACGTCTCTGATTTGCAAATGGCATTTCAGCATTTTCATGAGAATAAAATGCTACTGTGATGCTGGGTTTAAATATTTCATTCCAGCTCCCTGAACCAACTTAAAATCTTATTATAAGTCATTTTGACATGAAAGTGTGTTTCTCTGTGGTGCCCGTGGCTGAGACATCTCCAGCTCGGAGTGCAGCTGCAGGAGCCCTCCCTGCTCAGGGCTGATCAAAGGCAAACCACCCGTGAGCCACTGCTCGGCCCCACCACCCAGCCCAGGGAAAAAACGGCATCCTGAACATCCCAAGGGCTGATGCCATCGATGGAAAACACGTATTCCTGTCGTAACCCTGCTGGGAGAAGGTTGGGTGAGTTTAGCAAACAAAACCGCAGCGGCTTAAAACATGGAATTGCAACAGTGCCACAGAGACGAGCTCGAGAAATTTGTTAAGAAGGATATTAGGAATAAATCCCTGTGTTACTCTTTCCAGCATCGGGGTTAGTTCATGACTCTTTAATGTGAGCTCTCCCTCTTTTATGTCATGTAGTCTGGAGGGAGGAAAGTGGCACTGACCCAAAATGAATCCTTCCTGTCCTGGGCTCCTCCCGCTCTTCCTTGCTCTGTGAAAAAGTCCTTGTCCTCTCTGAGTGGTTTTTCTGAAAATAAGACCAAGCAAGGTAGGGACGACCACACTTTTTTCCTCTTCCTTTCTCTTTAAGATCCATGGGTTATCATTTTATTATGTATTTTCCTATCTGTGATCTTGGTTGTGCTCCAAAGTGCCTTGCCAGGACCTTGTGCATCAATTAGAAAAGGTGTGAGGAGGGACTGAGGGCACTTGGTGTGTTCAGCTGGAGCAGAGGAGACTGAGCGGAGACCTCAGTGCAGTTCAACTGCCTGGGCAGGGGCAGAGGAGGGACAGGCACCAATCTCTGCTCTGGGGGGACCAGGGACAGCACCCAGGGAATGGCTGGAGCTGTGCCAGGGCAGGGTCAGGTTGGATCTCAGGCAAAAGTTCTTCCCCCAGAGGCTGGTTGGGCACTGACCAGGCTCCCCAGGGCAGTGGGCACAGCCCCAAGGCTGCCAGAGCTCCAGGAGGGTTGGGATGATCCTCTGGGGCACAGGGGGTGACTCTTGGGGATGGGCCTGTGCAGGGCCAGGGGTTGGACTGGATGATCCTTGTGAGTCCCTTCCAACTCAGCACATTCTGTGATCTGTGAAATTGTGCTGAAACAAAACCTCAGCCAGTTCTGGCTGCTCAATTAAACAGTTTGTTGTGCAGCCTTGGAAGAGGAAAATGCTGAAAAAAGGATTTCAGGGAACATTTGTATTATGGGAAGAAAACATTTCATGAGAAATTTTCTGAAGCTCTCTGCATTTCCCATGCACAGCCTTGTGTGTTACCCTCAGATTTGGAGGATGGCTGGTGGCTGTGGGTGGCTGTGCTGTGACAATGACAAGGATGTATCTGGGGTCACAGGGTGGGATATGTTTTAGGTAATTCCACTGTAGTCCTGATATGGGAGCAAGGAGCTGTTTTTCCCCTCCTAGAGGCTTGGAGCACATCTCTTATATGCTCTCCTGTTCCTCAGTGTGGGCATTTAACACCAAGACTGCTGCCCTGTTGATGGGAGGAGTGCTGCTTTACTCTGCCATGGGAACTGGTCCATCATGTCCCCCTGTTGGGGCTGGAATGGTGATGTTGGCCATGCACCAGGACTCCCAATGGTTTATTCAATTGCTCCTCATGGTTTTGTGTTACACTGGTTTTGCTGGGGCTGAGATCCACAATGCCACCGTGCTGGCAGCTCTGCCAGGGTCTCTGAGGACTGTTTTGGGACTCTGAACATCCTGACTCCATTGCCCATCCCTCTGCTCGATGAGACACTTGGATATTCCTTCTGTGGTGTCTCTGCCCTTGGCAATGCCCTGGGCCCTGGGGTGGGTTCAGGGCTCAGCCTGCAGAGGCCGAAGTCGTGGCTGTGGGTGTCCCAGAGCAGGACACGCCACAGGACACGTTATGGGAGAGGACAGGGTTACTTTGCTGGGTCCTGCAGCTGGGTCACAAAGCCCCCATGGATCTCTCCAGGCTGGGGCAGAGTGGCTGGGAAATGCCTGTTGGGAAAGGCCCTGGGGGTGCTGGTGCCAGGGGCTGGACATGAGCCCAGGTGAGCCCAGGGGGGCAAGAGGCCAATGGCCCCTGGGCTGTGCCAGCCATGGTGTGGCAGCAGGGCCAGGGCAGTGACTGTCCCTGTGCTGGCCCTGCTGAGGCCCCTCCAGGGCTGCGTCCAGTTCTGGGCCCTCATGGAAGAGAGACATTGAGGGGCTGGAGCGTGTGCAGGGAAGGGAACGGAGCTGGGAAGGGGCTGGAGCAGCAGGAGCAGCTGAGGGAGCTGGGGGGGCTCAGCCTGGAGAAAAGGAGGCTCAGGGGGGACCTTCTGGCTCTGCAAGTCCCTGACAGGAGGGGGGAGCCGGGGGGGGATCGGGCTCTGCTGCCAGGGAACAAGGGACAGGAGGAGAGGGAACGGCCTCCAGCTGTGCCAGGGGAGGGTCAGGTTGGACCTCAGGAGGAATTTCTGCCTGGAAAGGGTGTTCAGGCACTGGCAGGGGCTGCCCAGGGAGGTTTGGAGTCCCCATCCCTGGAGGTGTGCAAAGCAGGACTGGGCGTAGCACTGAGTGCTCTGGGCTGGGGACAAGGTGGGGATGGGGCACAGGGTGGACTTGATGACCTTGGAGGGCTTTTCCAACCTCAGTGATTCTGTGATTCCACAATTCCCCTCTCCCCCTGTGGCTCCACCCAGCCACCACCCAGCCTTGCAGAGGCTCTATAAGCACCGCTGTGTTGCTGAGTAGCTTAAACAGCTATGGACGTGTGTGAGTGAGGCCCCATCCAGCACAGGGAGGGTACAAGCAAGTGGAAATCAGGGCTTATGTTTGCCACTGATAAATGTATTAGTCTTTAGAGCGGAATTTAAACTACAACCCTTTTCCAGGCACCTCAGCGCTCCGTTATTTTGCAGGCCTTGTAAGGGAATGTGATTTTGCCTTTTAACTGGAGTGTATCTTATGCTAAGCAGCGAGATTAAGCGTAGGCATCCAAAAGAAGTTGCTGAATGGCAGAATTGCCTTTATAAATAACATTAATAATTTATCCGATCCAGGGGTTTTTTGGGTAAATGAAATACCTGCCTCTGTATAAAGCCCGCTGAATAGGAACACATCTCCGCTTTTATGAGGCCGGGATTAAAGAAGGGAAATGCTAAGGGGCTTATCTTCGCTTCAATTTGCAGCCCTTCCGGCGAACGGCAAACCCATTTAAGGAGCTCCTGTGTTTGTGCCAGCTCGGCTTTTGTTCTGGGTGCCGGGGCTTGGCTGCATTTCTCACCACGGCACTGGAGAGGAAGCAGTTTGTTTTCTTGACCTCAGATTACCAGACAAAAGCGAGCAGGAATGATTTCCCTCGGAGTCCTCCCCATTATGGGTTGCTTAAAGCATCTGTTGGGTGGCCACAGAGCCGCTGCCGGGCCGGGGACCCCACGTGTGAGAGAGGCCAGGGCTGGTGGCTGAGAAGGGAGGAGAGCAAAGAGCATCTGTCGTCTTGCTGCTGGGATGGCTGAGTCCTCCTGCAAACAGCCCTGAAATGGCAAAACTCATCCTCCCCAAAGCCCACGAGCTGTCACTTTGCAGCTTTTCTTTCGCGCCGGTAAAAATCAATTGCTTCGAAGTTCACCGAAGGTGAAGGCAACATTTGCTTTCCATTCAGAGCTAAGCGGGCCCTGCTCAAGAGCAAAGGCTCTCGAAAGGCAGAAGAGCAAAAATCAGCAGAAAAATTCTCTGAATAATTTGGACTAGGCAAGGAAAAAGCAATTTGCTCCCAGTTATTCCGCAGACAAAAGTATGAATAAAAAAAATCATGAGCTATTTACCCTGCCTGGACTGTTTGCACGAGGTTTGTGCTATCCCAGTTTTGCTTCACTGACCCCCAAAGACCTTTATCACCAGATCCTCGAGGCATTTCAAGAAATCATGGGGCTTGGGGGATTATTTTTTCTTTTTTTTTTGCATGCTGGATCAGCAGGGACCAAAAGCAGAGAAAACAATCGGGTCCTAAATCTTGAACCACGCTGCTGCTTGTGTGTGCACTGACCTGGATCGGGGACTCGGGCTCTGGCCGACCAACTCCACCAGCACAGAAATTTTATCCCAAATACTATTACAGGCTCTGGTGCTTTGCATTCAGATGATGAGGCTGTGGCAAAGGCACAATGAGAATTTACAATCTGCTTTAGAAAAACCTGGGACTTGTGTTTAGCTTTGTGTTTTAAAGGCAGTTTATGTCACATCTGCCGCACGTGGTGGCACTGGCCAGGACACTCAGAACTATGCTGCTGATGAGGAGAGGAAAAGAAAGGAGGATGGAGACCTCATAAGCTTTATCAAAACCCACCAAAAAGTCAGGAGATTTGGGGATTACGCCGTGTAATTACATTACCTGAAGAAAAAAGTTGCCTGAGAATTCCCTGTCTTGTGCTGCCAGCGCTTTTCAGCCATTAGTAACACACAACTTCACATTGTCTTCTCCCGAGGCACAGATGGGCTAATTTTCAGCTACCTGATAATTACACATTGTTTGAAACGACATCAAAAGCTTTCCTTCCTGCAATCCTCCAGCAGCCATTCTTACAGCTTCCAAAGTCCCTCGGTTGGGGCTTGCACGAGTCCCCATCCCTGAGTCCATCGGTCCATCCAGAGGGCCAGGAGTGGGGTGGCAAAGCCTCCAGGTTCACACTCAGGTTTCACAGGCTCTTTGTAGAGATTTGTACCATTTCCAAACCAGGTGGAGTGACTGAAGCTCCACCAAAAGCATCTTCTCTGTGCTGAGTATCTGAGGTTAATACATGATAATGCTGTGTCAGGGTGGTTCTAGTTAAATAGACAGAGGGGTGTT